CGCGGGGCGCGCGGCGGTTTTGTGAATGCAGACGCGCTCCGGAGGTCTTGTGAATGGGCTGGGGGAGGCCGGCAGGCGGGGGATTTATGGCTCCCCGCGCCGCTCTCCCGCGCGCTCGCCGTGTCGCTCGCTTCCCGGAGCTGCAGCCCCAAGGCTCTGCCCGAGTGGCGTCATCCCGCTGAAATCGAATCGACCCATTAGAACTCCCCGTAGGAATCTCTGCATCCGGCCCCTGGGTAATGACTGAACCAGAACGGCGAGGGGGTGGGGCGGCGCGAGCAGCCCCCCCGAGCAGGCCTGCTCTCGCTATCTCTGCCAATCGCCGCCACTCGGCCGCCCGCAGCCCGAGACGGGGCTGCTTCTTTGTTCAGGGGCTTCTCCCAGCCTTCTCCGCTCGCACCCCCCCTCGGCGCCGGCGACGACCGTCCACCCGGCGCGGCCCACCCTGCGCGCCCTTTCTGCGGGAGGACGCCTTCGAGCCCACGACCAGTGACTGAGCCCTGCCTTCGTGCCAGGTGCTGTGGAGGCGACGAGGGAAGACAGCCCTTGCCTCGGCGGAGTCTCCTCGCACGGCCAGGCTTCGGGAAAGGAGGCAACCTCGGACGTTTTCTGAGAGAAGAGGACAAAGCTCTGCGTAAACCATCCTCGGCTGCTGCCCAACTCCGCAGGAGAGGAAGGGCGCCGGGCAGAAGCACTCCGAGGAAAATAAGCCTCATATTTTCAATAAAAGAGATCTGATTTCAAGTCCTGCTTCAATGGACAAATGGGAGCTTGACCATCAACATTCTTCGGATGCTTTGGTTCCCCCATCTATAAAATGTAGATGGTAAATGGTGACAGTTCAGAGTAAAACAAACCTGCGAAGCAGGAAACTGAGATTCCTAATCTTACTCTAACTCCTTGTGTGACCTTTGCAATTTACTTTCCCCCCTACACTGACATGAGGGGATCTGATGAGGTAATTGCTAAGGTCCCTTGCAGCGCTGACATTCGATTATTTGCACCCTGTGGGGGGGGGGTTAAGAAAACAAAAGAAGGCATGAAATTAAAAGCATGTTGGGGTGTGTGGGGCTGCGTGTCCGCGCCCGCGTGTGGCCGAGATGCTCCAGACTGCTCGGTTGATGTGTCTGTACGTGTGCACACGTGGGCACTCGCGCGCACGCGCACTCACACACAGACGCGCGTGTGGACCTGTGTAGATAGACACTTCCTTTTTATTTCTGAGCAGATTCAGCTCTCTTCCCAGTCACAATTCCCAGAGCCGAGAGGCCTTCCTATGTCAAGTCTTCTTCTGTGGCTCAAACCTCTTCCTTTCTCAAAGGTTAACTTGAGTTTGTCAAGACCACGACCATCATTAAAGTGAATCTATAGTCTCGACTGCAGAAGACAGACTTGCTCACGCACTCATTCATCCCTTTGTTCAACAAGAATTTACTGCACACCATTTATGAGCCAACTTGGACTCAGAACAAACAGTTCAGGGCTCCAATTTTTGTTCCTCAAATTATGAGCAACTCAGTTTACCGCTCTGAACCTGTTTCTTTGTCTTCATTGAAATGGAGGTAATGATAGAGCCTACATCACAGAATTGTGCGATTTCCTGTAGATTGCAGCATGTCTTGCTTTTACCTGGTCTGGCCTGTGTCTGGGACACAGTAACTGCTCACTGAAGGGTCCGTGAGAATATCCGGAGAGTGTTCTCACCCTAATGTACTCTGTTGGAGAGGCAAGAGATGACTTAAATTCCATGTTGCTGTTTGTAAAGTCCAACTTCAAATTTGAACAGACGTATACCACAAATATCTACATTGAATGCGGCTTGTTTTCGCACGCCATTGGTCTGTTCCAAAATGAGTGCTAATTCCCAGAGGTTTAAGTCAAGTTACTCTGCCTGTCGCTCGAGGTAGTCTCCAACTCAGCACGTGCTGCTGCTTCCCAATATCTCGAAACATGAGGCGGTTGGATGTTTCACTCCGACCAGCTGTCCACATGTGCCTTTCACATACGAAGTCACATTTCTGCATCGTCTACCCTCAGGTCATAATTTCTGTGAACTCTTCCCTGACTACTGTGGCGCACGTCTGCTCTGAGGTAGTGTGACTGTACAGATACCCTGGTTTATTTCTTCGTCCTCGCCCCACGTTCACCTATGCGGCCTCGACCTACACCGCTAGACCTGCTCTTCCTTCTTTCCATTTCACCTTGGCGTAGCGGTCGTACACGGCCTGAACAGCCGGTCGCTGTGAAGGGTGGAGGGATGTGCTTAATTTGTTACAAGGATTCTCCGACAGAGTGAGGAATACATGCATTTGGAGGGCAGGGTGGTTTTTCGGCTGCCCTTCAGGGTTGCTTATTCATTTGCTTGGAAATCACTGATTGTATAACTAGATGGGCTTCCCTGTGCTCAGGCAGTGGCTCCAGCTTCTACGGGAGCGCCACTCACATGTCACTGGCCTGTCTGTACAAAGCAAAGCGGCACTGGGTTGGGAAATGGGGGTCTTGCGTTGGCCGCTAGGCCCAACAGTGTCACCAGCTAACTCTGTGGTCTTAGACAGCTCAACGAATATGTCACAAAGTGGCTCCTGGGAAGCAGATCATTAACCAACGGACAAGAAAGCACAATTCCTGAAATGCACCGGAAGTAACAAGTTTGTGAAATGAAGTGTCAGGTATCACACAGTGAGTTCTGTAAATGTCATGATATCAACTTCTGTATATAAGTGTAGTGCACCAACACCCTCTCAGAAGCCATGAGACTCTAAATAGAAACACGACGCCTGCAAACACAAATAAAAAGGCTTGTGTAGATGCCTAAGCTTCAGCTACCTCTTCATGCAAAACGCGTTCACTGGGCAGCCAGAGTGCCAAGCCCCGGACACAGCAATGAAAACAGATGTGGTAAATCTTACAGCTGCCCTCACAGACGTCACTATCGAGAATGGGGGACAGACAAGTGTGACAAAGGGAGGAGAGAAGGAGACAGATGCCCACGCTGGCCTTTTGGGGAGAGACAGCTAGGAAGGTACTTTCTGGAGTAAGTGATTGCGGGGCTGGGCTCCAAGGACGTGGATTAGAGAGGGACTAGAGGGAGCGTGGCGGATACTCAGAGGCAAGGAGCGTGTAGGGTCAGGGGCTGTGAAGGGCAGAGAGTGTGCGCACGAGTCGTGGGAGGAGCTGATGGAGCAGCTGAATGAGCAGCGTGCGGCCGGACCCAAGCAGGTATGGCTGAATGAATGAGTGAATGAATGAATGGGCACGCGTTAGTTTGGATGGGCACATCCCAGCAGGTGAGAATTCTCAATCACCTCGATTGTTTTCCTTCCTGCTGTAATGCCGAGCCACAGAGTACAGATATGTCAAATGTATGAATTATAGATGTATATCATATTAATGTAGATATAAAAATATTAATATGGAATTAACTGATCGATACATAATTAATGAGCGAACTGCTCATCTCAAGGGCACAATTTAGGAGGAAAGGCAGCAAATGGGCAAATGCGGGAAAGGACTTAGACAAGTGTTAGAGAAGGGAGCAGAGAGGAAAGACGCGCGATCCGGTGCTGAGGGCACTCTGGCTGTCTCCCAGAAAAGGTGACGCTGGAAACCAAATGTGAAGAAAGAAAAGGGCGGTACAGCCACAGGCAGCTGCCTGCAAAGGCCTGGTGGTGAGAGGAGGTGACAGGCTCCACTGCAAAAGAACGAGTACCGCCGTTGCAGCGGCGACCACCGCCAGAGGCCACAGCCCCGGCGGCAGCGCCTGGGGAAGCCCCGCGGCCGGCCGCCAGGCGCGGCCACCAGGAGTGGCGGGAATCTCCTGTTGTGTTCGTACTGTTGCATGCACTTAGCTTATTCATCAACTGCTACACTGTGGCAAGAGAGCTGTACATGTAAAAG